AATCTTTAGGAGCAAAATTAAAAATTTTTACATTAACATTAATGAAAAAAAATATATCTTTAAACGTATAAGAGAAAATTTTAGAAAGGACTGAATTTTAAATGAGTTCTTGCTAATTGACCAGTTTTACATATTCGGCACGACATATATATATATATATATATATATATATATATATATATATATATATATATTATATATATATATATAATGTCGTGCCGAATAGGCAGAATTTGCGATCTTGGCTTAAATAGCAACTCTCATCTTGCCATATAGGAGAAGTGAAAATTTGTGTATGCAATAATTTCGCCAAAATCATTCTGAGCCTAACGAAAAAAATATATTTCACTGTGTTTGTTTCGTATTAAATTATTGTAAACAAATCTAAAATATGTTAAGTTTGGGGTTTGGCTAAACTAAAAATTTTTCTTGTTATAATAAGGTTAGGTAAGTTTTCTAAGATTCTTTTGGTGCAAAATTAAAAATTTTTACATTAACATTAATGAAAAATATATATCTTTAACCGTATAAGAGAAAATTTTAGAAAGGAATTAATTTTAAATGAGTTCTTGCTAATTGACCAGTTTTACATATTCGGCACGACATAATATATATAAAATATATATATATATATAATATATATATATATATATATATATATATATATGATAGGAGTGAATGGAGACAAATGGTTTTTAATACTTGACGTGCCGTTGGAGTGTGAGCAAAGTAAAAATTTAAAGAAGGGATTCAGGGAAAACCGGCAGGCCGGACTTGAGTCCTGGAGATGGGAAGTACAGTGATCAGGCTCTGATCCACCATGGAGGCCTGGTCACAGACCGGGCCGCGGGGGCGTTGACCCCCGCAACTCTCTCCAGGTAAACTCCAGGTATATATATATACACACACACACATATATATATACATATATATATATATATATATATATATATATATATATATATATATATATATATATATATTTATATATATATATACTATATATATATATATATATATATATATATATATATATATTATACATATATATATATATATAATATATATAGATATATACATACATATATATATACGTTTAAAGATATATTTTTTTCATTAATGTTGATGTAAAAATTTATAATTTTGCACCAAAAGGAACTTAGAGAACTTACCTAACCTTATTATAACAAGCGCAACTTATTTTAGCCTAAACCAACTAAATATATTTTAGATTTGTTTACAGTAATTTAATACTAAACAAACACAGTGAAATATATTTTTTTCGTTAGGTTCAGAATGATTTTGGCGAAATTAACGCATACACAAATTTTCACTTGTCCTATATGGCAAGATGAGCGTTGCTATTTAAGCCAAGATCGCAAGTTCTGCCTATTCAGCACGACATATATATATATATATATATATATAATATATATATATATATATATATATATATATATATATATATATATATATATAATATATATATATATATATATATATATATATATATATATATATATATATATGTATATATATATATATATATATGTATATATATGTATATATATGTATCAATTTGTCTCAGTGGGATCAGAGACCTTGGAATCATGGGGAAAAAATACCACACGTTTCCTTAAAGAATTGGGTTCCAGACTCATCGACACCACCAGGGACCCAAGGCAGCCACTTTCATGTTCCAGCGCCTCAGCGTCGCTATCCAGGGGGGAAAAATGCTTGCTGCATACTTGGCTCACGTCCAGCTCGGAGGAGCTGGAGGAAATTCATGATCTTTGATACATTGTGCCATTGTATTCATGTTTATGTATTTTTCTGTAAATGTATTTTGTTTATTAATAAATGTTCATATATTTATATATATATATATATTATTTATATATATATATATATATATATATATATAATATATATATATATATATATATATTATATATATATATATATATATATATATATATATATATATATATATATATGTGTGTGTGTAAAGTTGAAAACTTAACATTGGAAGGAACACGGTGATGAGTGTAAGGCAATGGAACATTGCGTATCAGATTTGAGGGAGGGGGAATGGAGGAAGTGAATGTGTTCAGATATTTGGGAGTGGACTTGTCAGCAAATGGGTCTATTGAAGACAAGGTGAACCATCGAGTTGACTTGATAAAATGGTGTGAGGTGCATTGAGACATATTTAGAGACAAAGAGTTATCCCTGGAAGCAAAAACTGGAATATATGAGAGCATAGTAGTACCAATGCTTCTACATGGCTGTGAAGCATGGGTGGTGAATGTTGCAGTAAGGAGGAAGCTGGAGGCAGTAGAGATGTCATGACTGAGGTCAATGTGTGGTGTGAATATTATGCAGAGATTTCGTAGTTTGGAAATTAGAAGGAAGTGGGGGTTACCAGAAGTATTATCCATTGAGCTATATTACAACACTATTAAAATAATTTATTGGTACAATAAGTGATAAACTCAATTAAATAATTTCTAGCAAATATTCTGTGAAACATTAGTACAAGATTTTTGCAACTCGTCTTTACAGTAAATCAAAAGCCACAGTACGAGCATTGCAACACATTAGCATGAGTTTAACAAAAGTTTACTTATACTTCGACCAATAGCAAAAATCTTTCTTGTAAACATGGTAACATCATGAGTAAGAATTGGGCAGGTATCACACTATTCTGTTCCTGCACTGGAACCTCGTGCCTCCTCCCCCCATCCCCCCCGCATTCCTTCCTCCCTCCCTGGAGAGTGAGAACCAAGTTCAGGATAGTGAGATAGTAGGGGCCACTTGTGAGCTTTAGCAGTGGAGAACCGAGCACTGTTAGACTAGGAACTGGTGGCGAATACGGCAGCAGCTGAACCCAAGTATAAACTACTAAGGAACATAATCTAGATAGGAAAATGGCCCAATGGTTGGATCCTGGAGCAGCCCTGCCTCAAGAACTTCTGCAACGAGAGGGTTAGACAACGAGCTGGTTACGTACGTGTATGAGTAAGGTTGTGTACGACTGGTGACCCCAAAGTCTCTGTGGTTCCTGGTAGCAGCCAACCTGCATGCAGAGCACGAGGCAGTGGAGTCTATGTTACGCAGAACCAGAAATGGCCAAAACACAGGTCTAACATGATGGCCATTAGTCAGGCAGAGGCAGACCAGTTCCAGCTCGATGGCCAGGTATTTGACCTATGAGGGCAGGCTGACAGACTGGGTGGAGGTGTCACACCTGGTCAGCGGTGTCTCATCTGCCACCCTCATCCGGAAGGTGAAGGGCTATTTCACCAGGGATGGGGGAAGACTTCAGAGGAAGTCTCCAAAGATGGATGCAGCAACCTCAAAAGTGCTCAAATACTTGAGTTTTTCAAGCAGTAGGGTATCAGTGACAGGTTGTCACCTGCCCATTATTCCTAAGCCGCTGGGCAGACAGTGGCTGCAGATCACGTGGTCAAGAGGAAAATCTACGAAAATACCGGAAGAGAAGGCAGCGTGCCCTCAACATGGCCCTGCATTACATAGAAAAATCACTGATGTAATTCGTTAGTGAAAAACAGCTAGGTGACTCCAATACCCTGTGAACCAGCACTTGGGAGGACGCTGTGCCGCAGGGTGGTGTAGATAGCAGAGGTGGCGGAAGTCAAAGAGAAATGTGATCAGGGTGTCCGGCATATGCACGTTCTCCAGGTGAGGGATGAAGTAAGAACACAACAGTCCACAATAAAGTTGTGGACCATGATAGGTGTGATTGTCGAGGCTGACAGATTTTGGCAGTACACAGACTAGACGGAAGTGAAAGTCACATGAGCAACAGTTAAGCATCTTTATTGTTGACTGAAACGTTTTTCCTATGCAGTAGGTTTCTTCAGTCAAATACTGATGAGATTAAATTGGAGGCATTATGCGTAGTAGCAAGGTAGAGATGATGTAATCAGTCCATCAACCTTAGAGAAGTAATTTTTAAGGTGGCCAGTCCCACAACGGCATCTTGGTACAGAGGACATTTACAACTTCTTCGCTTTACTACTGGTTGTGAGTGAGAAGTGTTGGAAATCCTGAGGGACCTGATTAGCACGGTGCAGTAGGCCCATTGCAGTTCTCACCCTCAAATTCTTGCCCTCTTACTTCTACTAGTGATCCTTACCTCCTGCTACGTCTTTGACACTTTCGCTCCTCACCTTCGGCATTATTTAATACTCAATTCTCATGTTTTAACTATACATTGTTTCAGACTACGGAGCTGAGCAATTCTTCAGATTGACAATCTCGAAAACTATTTATACAAGGCAGATGGACAGATTACATCATCTTTGCTTCGCTACTACACCTGCTGGCTCCAATTTAGTCTCCTTTTTATATGACTGAAGAAGCCTACTACTGTTTAGGCGAAAAATTTCAATCACCAATAAAGATACCCAGCTGTTGCACATGTGTCTCGCTCTTCAGCTTGTCGGTATTACATACCATTTTCGTTACAGAGGGAAATGGCCGTCTGTCACTTAGGAATGAGCGATAACTTAGGTCCTCACACTCTCCCAGGACCACTACCTTGTGTACCATAGAATGGTGACAGGTGTGGGTGATTCACCTTAGCTGTTGGATATCAGAGCAGTCATTAACCGTTTGTGGGGTATTGATCACCAATTATCATCGTGTATTATGTTTATGATAATTTATAACTTTATCAGTTACCAACTTTAAAGACCATAGTGTTATACGTTAGCCAGGTCCCCGTCAACAGTTTGGTAGTTGACCAGCGGGAGTCCTCCCGTGGCTTTCCTTGTTGTAGTTATACAACATAATGAATTATGTTACTGCTTATTATTTAAGCGTTCACACACTCTCGAAACCTACTTACTTTCTTGCTTACTTATATGTTAATCCCAGTCACAGAATAGAAACCTTTGTTCTAATTTTCTCTAAACACTTTCTTCTATAATCATGTTAATAGTGACATTAAATATTTTTTTCACATTGATCAGGAGTGGAGTTCGGGACAGTGGCAACTATGGCGGCCACCGGTTGGTTGTGTGACTCCGACTTCATGGGAGGATGGCCGTCTGTGTTCTACATTATAGGCGTTCTGGGTGTTGTATGGAGCATCGCGTGGTTCCTGCTGGTGTTCAACCATCCACAACTTCATCCTAGAATATCTGAAGAGGAACGAGAATACATTTTACACTACTGCGGCAAAAAACCAGAAAAGGTATGTGAAAGCAATTCGATATTTATACTTACCCACGTATATATATATTTTAATTTGGTATTGTTCTCTGAAGATATGAAACTTAAGTAAACTGAAGTGCTGATAAAAACTGCTCTGCATTATGTAAGTTTATTCAAGTACAGGTACACATAAATACAATTACATAAATTATCATGCATATTAGCATGTGTAGAATTCCTAGGATAACCTAAAAAAATAAGTCAAAGTGACTTATTTCATTGGAAATTTAGGAAATGAGATCTGACGTGGAAATTCAGATCCTACACTGTTTAATATAAACAGGTGACGTGAATAATAAGTTTAATAAAGAGCCACTAATCATGCAAAACATTATTTAATATAGTAAATTTCCTAAACGAATACATTATGTGTGTTTGTGTTTAATATGGTATTTATTTCCTTAGTTTCAAAATAAAAGTAACTGGAAGGAAATATTTAAAATTACCGTAGTTACTGAACTCATATTTGAAGGCTTAAACAAAATCCTCAACATTCTTCAACATTCTTCAACATTCTTCAACATTCTTCAACAGCTTCCCAACTCATACAGACAAACAGAATTATCTTGAATTCAAGGTTAAACACCATTTTTCACTGTGGGTTTCCTGAATATTAATTCCTCATCTGAAAACACATTTGTGTAATGTCTTGTAATATGAAGACCTTCTGCATGATGGATGAGTTTAGTAAACACAGTTGTAGTGCTAATTTTGTTAAAAGTTTTGTTGATTAGTGTAGCAACACAACGTGGCATATTATTGTTACTCTTACTACTACTACTACTACTATTACTACTACTGCTACTACTACTACTACTACTACTATTACTATTACTACTACTACTACTACTACTACTACTACTACTACTACTACTACTACTACTACTACTACTACTACTATTACTACTACTACTACTACTACTACTACTACTACTACTACTACTACTACTACTGCTGCTTCTCATAATAATAATAATAATAATAATATTATTATTATTACTACTACTACTACTACTACTACTACTACTAGTACTGCTACTACTACTACTTCTACTACTGTGGGAACTTGTGAGATGCCCACACTGGCAATAGCGGTTGACACAGACAATACAAGACTCCTTGAGTCACGTTCTCATAGACAATACAAGACTCCTTGAGTCACGTTCTCACAGACAATACAAGACTCCTTGAGTCACGTTCTCATAGACAATACAAGACTCCTTGAGTCACGTTCTCATAGACAATACAAGACTCCTTGAGTCACGTTCTCACAGACAATACAAGACTCCTTGAGTCACGTTCTCACAGACAATACAAGACTCCTTGAGTCACGTTCTCATAGACAATACAAGACTCCTTGAGTCACGTTCTCACAGACAATACAAGACTCCTTGAGTCACGTTTCTAGACAATACAGACTCCT